TATACTATTAATCTCCCCGTGTTAATATGCTTGGATTGAGCGTGGACACTAGCTGAAAAAGAGGTTCCAAATTTTTTCACTACTACATACCAGCTTTTAGAGTTAAAACGTATTTATAGTTAATTATCAACCCATCTTGCGATGTGTGTAGGAGGTGACATTAGATACCAGCAATACCCATGAAATTCACACTTAAACTACCGAATTTCTTCATCACAACGTTCTCGCTATTATATTAACCGGAACTAATCTTCGCAGTTTATTATTTTCGTTATATGACTCATCGTGGTGGGTGCATAGAGATCAAGTGCTGCCTTAGATTTGTGTACTGTCTCAAACAACTTCCTTCTAGCCAGTTCCGTGTCAGGCAGATGGTCAGGCTATCTGAATGTCCCCCGTCGAATTTCTGGATATTTTGGTGTAAAAACAAAAAAAATAGTTAAATGGATAGCATTGTTACTGGTTTACTCACGAACTGAGTAGGGGACAATGAAATGCTGACTAGCCATTACGGCAGTATTGATGTAAGGTGGCCTATAATGTGCGTCAATCTTGTTGTTCAACTTGCTTTGACATTGTTTAACTCCCACGCATGTAATCATTTGCTGTCACACACACACACATCAATCTACAAGGGTGTTTACATTTCCGCTTTTTATCGTCATTGGTGCTTTACAGTTCGTTTACTGTAGCTATAGTGTGCGTGTCTTTCGGTCAATAAGAGAGTAATTGGTAGACAAACACATGTTGGTGACTTGAACTAGCTCGCTTCGTGTTGGCTTCATCTCTTTGCTGCCAAAGTGCAGAGTATCACAGTGGCACCTCGCTCCTAAGACACCCCTCAACGCTGACACTATCTAATACGACACGCCTTTTCTCTCCACCAGCACAGTTCTTGCAGGCATAATTATGCTGCACTCACATAATATGGACACATTTATCTTCCGGCCCATTGGTTGTCCGGTATTAGTGAGAGTTCCACGTAGCTGCGCAGGACACCGTCACTATATGGACACTTTCTTCCGTCCCAGTTGGTGTCTGTATTAGTGGAGTTCCACTGTCAGAATGCTCGGACACCTCCCTAATACGGACACTTTCGTTCCTGTCCCATTCGGGTGACTGTATGTAGCAGATGGTCCCACTGCTCATACTGCTCAGGACACCTGCACTAATCTATGGACACTTTCTTCCGTCCCATTGGTGTCTGATTCGAGGAGTTTTCCACTGCATAATGCTCAGGACAGCCTCACTAATATGGACACTTTCGTCCGTCCCTGGTGTCTGTATTAGTGGAGTTCCACTGTAATAATGCCTCAGGACACCCTCACTAATATGCACACTTTCTTCGTCCCATTGGTGTCCTGTATTATGGAGTTCCACTGTATAATGCTCCAGGACACCTCACTAATATGGACACTTTCTTCCGTCCCATTGGTGTCTGTATTAGTGGAGTTCCACTGTATAATGCTCAGGACACTCACTAATATGGGACACTTCTTCCGTCCCATTGGTGTCTGTATTAGTGGAGTTCCACTGTATACTGCTCAGGACACCTCACTATATGGACCCTTCTTCCGTTCCCATTGGTTGTGTCCTGAGTTCCACTGTATAATGCTCAGGACAACTCACTAATATGACACTTTCTTCTGTCCCATGGTGTCTGATAGAGGAGTTCCACTGTATAATGCTCAGGACACCTCACTAATATGGACACTTTCTTCCGTCCAATTGGTGTCTGGATTAGAGGAGTTCCACTGCATAGAGAAATAACATACAGTGTGTTTGTTGTCAGGGAAGTTGAAAGATTGCTTTTACGGCCTGAAAAATGAGCTTCTTACTACACACACACATTCCGCAGTGTTTCCTAGTGAGGCATTAGAAGAAAAGCCACGGATAGTGTATTATTATGCAATGGAGACCACAAGGAAACTATGGTCTAACTCTAGCCACTGAACACCGTCTATCCCAAAGGCTCTCCATCCAGGTGTGAGATACTATTACGGTTTGGTGTTGTGTCTATGAGATTATACACACCTACACTTTAAACTGAAAGGTGTATTTCATTTATACATTAATCCATAATAATTGGTAAATGCACACGTGCAGATTGAAGGCCAGACCACAGGAAACATAAAAGAAACCCCAACACCCCACAGCCCACAGCCCTGGCACAGTGTTACCTCCTATGCTGCCATAAACCTAGTAATGGTGTGGCATACAGTACCATTATAATTATGACCTTCCAGGGGTACATTGCACGTATTACTTGCTATAGTATGTCTCAGATTAACTAAGTAAAATAGGCACACCTGGCAAGGTATTTAGTTCACTGGCTCTTTCAATTAATAGCATAGTTACGCTCAACAGGCGTAAACATAGTACAGTAGCTCTCGAAGCAGTGTTGCCCACTCACATGGTCATTTCACACTTCAGTGGTGTGTTGTGATAGTATGTATAGATTTCCAGGGACGGTAACATTGTTTTCCACTGCCAACATTTCTGGGCAGGCTAAATCGACAAACAAAACCATGAAAAAATTTCTGTGCGAGGTCCGAGAAAGTTTCCAGCCTGCAAACTGCAATGCAGTGTCATAGTCACCTCCTGCTATCTTGCAAATGTGATATTAACCACGAGATTTTTCTCGTGCGAAATTACTTTTTCCCTATAACTCTAACAAAAGTGTGTACGAAATATTTTACAATGATGTGTTGTAAATCACCTCAAAGTCGGGCGAATCTGTGCGCTTGCAAATCGGCTTGGAGATCGTGAATCCGAGCAAGTCTATTGAGGAGAGAGGGATCTTCAGTATACCTATCAGAGCGCGACCGTGGAACACTCGAAACACGAGCGTCTGTTCGGCCACCTCGCCAATCGGTACACCATCGAAAACAAATTCGTCGTCAAACACTGGGTTAGAAGTTGCTTCGGTCGAAGGTTTGGCGCTCGTCTGCAGTATCTCGTTCTTGCTGGGGAGAATGTGGAGTGTGACGAAAAAGTGAACGTTTTGTTTCTGTGGGTTTTCGAAGAGTTGGTCGAGATTACTGGCAAACTTGAGGAAGACGGTGAGAGTGCTCGCCTGAATGTCGTGGATTATGGCAAAAGTGAGAGTGGGTTGATTGGGATCCTCAATCGAGGAGGATTGGGAGAGGCAGGATGCGGTGGAGGTAGAATCAAACACAAGTTTCTGTTGCTTACGCTTAGCGGAAGTTGACTGTAGAGCGACGTCGACCTTTTAGTGCCGCTAGAATCCGAGTCGAGCGACGAACTTTTTCGCTTCCAAATGGTTGTTCTGAAATCACAGGGCTAGCTGTGGCAGGTACGTGGTGAGATCCGTGTTCCGGCCACAGAGTCTGACTCGTCTGGGGAAAGTAGAACGTGCCTTGGGTCGACTGCAACAGGGTGTTTCCTGTTAGGATATTAGAGTCGATCACAGGTCTGTACTGGATTCTAGGAAACTTCTGGTCCTTCTCAGTATAATCCGACTCTCCCATGCAGCAAGGACTGCAGAAGAAGCAAGTGCCGGGCGAACCTGGCAGCAGACAGTTTTGCAGATACTGACAGAAACAAAAGCTCTCTTCCTCGTCCTCCGAAAAAGACTCGCTATCCATTCTGCATAAAATCCCGCGCCCACCTCGTTCCCAGTTGCAACCTTCTTGTATATACTTTACCGATTATCACGTCTTGCAGCTAGACACGTACGGTTGGAAAGACGCCCATTCCATTGTCCTTGTATCTTTCATGTATATACGAAGGAGTCTGTCCGGGGCGAACTTCGCCCCCGGCAGCGAGGTAGGCGTTCGGATGTGACGATCAGTGCTAACGGAAACTGAGGCCGTTCAATGCACTAGTTCACACCTGTCTGAAAGGGCTAACGCCCACAGACTGCCATTAGTACTGCAGGAGTGCACAGTGCGCTGCGGGAGGAGGGGAGGCCTCGCCCGCAAAAACGAAACACCACGGTTCTGCGCATGCGCGCGTTGCCTGCACAGAGTGTCTGCCGCCGTCTCGTGTATCTTCTCACACACTGCACTGCACTGCACTGCACTTACGGGCGCTGGTCCATTGCCCCGCAAAATCTAGTCTTGTGCAACGGCTGGTTTACGGAACTAGAGCTTAGAGAGAGGTTGCGCGCGAAGGCAGCGCTGGGTTTAGTACGCATGCGCGAATATTTCGACTCCGTAGCGTAGAAACAACGCGAGAGTTTCAAACAAAACCATCTCGATATAACAGCGTGCGTTGCAGACTATATACCCGGAGAAACATGCACTTTGTTGTCCGAAGAATCGGAGCCTTGGGGAACACCACGCATGCGCGATGGTCGAGAGTTGCAAGGCGGGGGAGGGGCTCGTCCACATCTGCAGCCGGACCGGCTACAAGTGATCAACTAGTCACCAAGGTATTACTTTGGAAGGTTTTCACAGCTGTAAGATTAATACACGCCAGTATTGTTGCACAATGCAGGCTTCTAGTCTGCATACAAAACTTAGAAAATTTGACCTACTGCTTTATTTTTGCATCGCGGAGTATGACATAATCATTACATCATTGCCAGGTCCCAGCCCCCATAATGATGTTTCTGGCTGGAGTGGTTTTCTACGGTCCCTGCATCTTTACCCTTTTCACCCAACCCAAGGAAAAGAGGTGGCGGAATGTGAATCTTTACAATAATGCAGACAAGGATCCAGAAATAAAGCAATACAAGAACAGTCATCATCAGCATGATCATCATTAATACTAATCTATTGGTGCACAGAATGACACTCATTTCCCCCCCAGCATGCAGGTAAGGGGGAAACGGTCTGGTAAATAATCATAAGTTGATCCTGCAAAACCTTCAAACAGGCAATTAAGCAAGACCAGCTTTGCTGCAAGTGCAATCCAATTCTAATGTAAGACGTGTTCCAATTCAGCACAAACACACTTCCCCCCCCTTTTCTGAGTGTGTGTGGGGTCCTGGGCACTAGACTTGCGAGGCATGATTCCTTTCTTCACCTCAAAAAGAATTATAATAACGAACGAATGATTTACGGTATGATTGTATAAGAGATGTTGAGATGTTGCAAGATGATGTCACGAGATGATGTCACGCAATTCACGGTTATGTACACACAATACATACACACATACACAAACGACTGTTCAGATTTGCCTATATCTTTACTTATTAGATCCTAAACACATAGGGAGAGCTCCCATGGAGCCCGAAGTCTTCAAGCCCGAACTTTTCCCTCTTCCGTTCTTCTTCCCGGGCAAAATGGGGTGCCAGTGGCTTATGGCCTCTCGCGGCGAGTCGATGATCTCTTGCCAGTGGTTTCGGCCGCTGTCGTGGGAGACTTCGCAGCCGAGATCACAATACCGACGTGGTCGTTGCGGCTGAACCGGTCGTAGTCCATGACAACCACCTGCATGAGAAATATTCACTCTAAGGACACCCTTTAAATGAGGACACTCCTCTATAAGGACACCCCTAATATGAGGACACCTCTCCCCAATGAGGACACTACGCTAATGAAGACACCATTTCTTTCTCCAAGAACAGCATAAATGAGGACACTTCCTCACTAATATGGACACTTTCTTCTGTCCCATTGGTGTCTGTATTAGAGGAGTTCCACTGTATAATGCTCAGGACACCTCACTAATATGGACACTTTCTTCTGTCCCATTGGTGTCTGGATTAGAGGAGTTCCACTGTATAATGCCCAGGACACCTCACTAATATGGACACTTTCTTCTGTCCCATTGGTGTCTGGATTAGAGGAGTTCCACTGTATAATGCTCAGGACACCTCACTAATATGACACTTTCTTCTGTCCCATTGGTGTCTGGATTAGAGGAGTTCCACTGTATAATGCTCAGGACACCTCACTAATATGGACACTTTCTTCTCTCCCATTGGTGTCTGGATTAGAGGAGTTCCACTGTATAATGCTCAGGACACCTCACTAATATGGACACTTTCTTCTCTCCCATTGGTGTCTGGATTAGAGAGGTTCCACTGTATAATGCTCAGGACACCTCACTAATATGGACACTTTCATTCACTCTCATTGGTGACCATTATATATACCTGCATCAGAAGGTCCCGCAGGTGTAGACCAGGGATCAGAAACTCGAAGGACTCGTTGAAAACCGGGACGAGCGTGTTTTTCTTGACCTTGGTTTTCCATTTGCTGAGTCTCTTTCCCTTGTATATGAGGTAGACTTTTACGTACGGATCTGAGGAGGGAGGGCGGGAGTCCAGGAGGGAGGAGGGAGGGAGGGAGGGAGGGAGGGAGGGAGGGAAGGAGGGAGGGAAGGAGGGAGGGAGGAAGGGAGGGAGAGAGGGAGGAAGAGAGGGAGGGAGGGAGGGAAGGAAGGTAGTTATTGAAAACCCAGCGAGAGGAAGAGAAGGAGGAAACAAGGGGGAAAGAGGGTAGGTGGGAAGTCACAGTGAAACTGAGCAGGCCAACAATTGTTAGTTCCCTTCCTACACTCATATCCTTTCAGACTCAATAGTGGAGGGCATACTGTAATTTGCAAATTCCATTCCAAGACGTATTAAACAGCTGCAGCCAACCAAAATCACATTAGTATAATTATTAGACAGTCAACCATTAAAATCTCCAAATTAAATAAGTATTGCACATCCAAGAGCTGCCAATATTTTACACCAGAAGCTACATTATTCCAGAACATTTGCAGCTGGGAATGGGTTTTCCACGCTCAAATATGTCCGTCCCAGTTCCGCCTTCATACATTTCTCATGGGACTCACAAATGACATTAGGAACAAGCAGGCCACAGGGACTTTGTTAGTGTCTGCACTCTTTACTTCACAAGGACACGACCTGCCTACACAACACAACATTAACACTAACTACGGAAAGAGAAAAAAGGGACTTTGTTCATGTCTGCACTCTTTACTTCCTTACAAAGGTGCTATATACAAGGACACCACAACCCTTTGGACGCCATGGGTATCTGCCATAAGCAGAAATTGATGTATAAAGTGTTAGTGCCTATATAGTATTATAACCCCCATATAAATTCATATGGACTTGTGTGGAGGCTCTGGACACATTTATGCCGGGTTAAGTAACTACAGTTGTGCAGAGTATGTGTAATTCATATGAAATGACGTAAGGTGGTGTAATGCACAAAAGCCTTGTTATTGCATTGTCAGCTGCAAGGCAACACCGTATCCATTATTGGGTTGTTTCTCATTTACTTACAAACATGTGGCGCAAGCTGTTGGGAACACACAAACTCCAAGAACCAACGTGATTATTAATGCCCTCACAGCCCTAATGTTCACATACGTATTATAAACTTATGACACAATTTCTCAGAATATCGTAATGTGATTTCCAGCTTTGTAACAACCCAGGAATGTATGTGTATGTATGTATGTACACATCACTGTCACGTCTTATATTGCATTACGGGAAGATGTTGTGGTTGAAATGAGGTGTCTATGACGCGTGGCAGATGTTGGTAATTTCTCATTTGCCGTCCCCTGGGTAACATGGCGTACTTTGTCGAACAGATTATTACGTAAGCGCTTGTTGTGTTGTTTGCGCTGTGCAGTGACGTGTGGCGTATGTTGAGAGAGAGGGAGAAGAGAGAGAGAGAGAGAGAGAGAGAGGGTCCTAAAGTAGGTTTCTAAGTGGTTCGCTAATGCTCCATTAAAGGGTTGATTGGTCTAAAAAGCAGGAGCAAAAACAGAGACGTTTGTTGGCCTCTGAAATGGAAGCAAGAGAGGTATATATAAGGAGGAAGTCAGTGTGCATGGTTTGACCACAACAGGACGTGACACACCCTATAGCTATACCAATTCCGCAACAAATGGGCAATAACTTTGCATTGGATTACACAGAAGATGTCGCAGGAGTGACTTCACTTCATTACTAAATTGTAGCTAACCATATCAAAGAGAGGTATAATTATGTGGGCTTGTGGGGATTAAAACGGGGCTTCAAACCATATACATTCCCTGCGAGCAAACCTAACTTGGTAAACCACGCTACAAACTGGGCAACATGAGCTAGACAGTGCAACTCCTCTCTAAGGACACCTCTGAAATGAGGACACCTCTCTGCATTCCCTGCACCCAAGAACAGTCCGTGGGTGCAATTTAACACCTGAAATAAGGACACCTCACTAATTTGGACACCTGATTAAAAGGGGTACTACTGCATAATCTTTGCCATAATTACGAGGTAATGTGCAGGCCTTTGCTTAGGCTTTTGTAATGCTTCATTCCAGGTATGCAGATGTAATAGCTACAGAAACACTTCAGAGGAATTTGTAATGATGTGGTTGTGTAAGTATTGGCATGATAGTTGGATGTAGGCACCTGTAAAGTATTGCCATTTTCCTCAGAGCAGAGGGGTTCCACTGTATAATAATTGTACACAGGCATAGTAGACAGTCTGAGCATGTAAACAAGTGTGTTTTCTGAGAATGTCAAGATTGAACCAATCACCACGACATTGCAACTCCCTAAGCTAATATCCAGTAGCTGGCAGTTGTATTCAGGGCTAGTCCAGAGTGATAGAGTAACCATCACCATGACTCTCATCTCTCAAATCTTTCCTTCCGCTATCACAACACTTCCTTCAGGAGTAAAGTCATTTTGGGGCAGACACACCGGTTTTTCCACACCCACACTACAACTAAACAACTCTTCTCATTACTCAGTAAGACGTCTGTCTATGTAGAGTCACAGCAAAGGCTATGATATTACAATATGCAGACACATGTCTAAAAATTACCGGAAATTATGCCAAATAATAACAGCTGTCTTCACACATAACTGCTGCTCAATTGATCGATGTATCACTGTCAATTACCCTGCCTTTGCTTGAGGAATGCGCCGAGAATATCTTAAATAAACCTTCATTATGTGCGCGTGTGCCTGCAAGTGGTGGAACTTACCAGCCAGACCGAAGACATCTTGTTTGGTGAGGTTGTTAGCCTCGAAGACCGTTCCTTCTAGCGTTCCCTTCGTCGGGTTGGAGGTTAGCCCAATGAGCAGTCGACCTTGCGTGTCTTGCTGCATTACGACAGAGGATAGGAATAAAATGGAAACGTGATTACATCTGCACTGGACTCTATTGTTTATTCTTTACCAAATTTTTGCCCTTAATGTACTGCCATATTCCCTTTGAGTATGTAATGGAGTAAGAAAAATAATGCTTAAATCGTTTGAAACTGGTTGGTTTCGTTAAAACAAACCAAGACAAGAATTCCATTTGCATAGTTAAAACACCAAACCTATAATACGGCAAACAAGAACAAAGATTTCTAAGAGCAGTAAAACGAGATGCTGGCATAGTGCGAAGTGCATCAAAAGTTATTTGAGACAATCAAATTGCATTCTCACCATCAAATTAATACTATGGGCGGGTCACCTAGCAGGAGCTATTCTTGTAGGTTCACACTCTCTCTTTTACTTAACAAAATGCAAAACCATTTGAACAAGGAAAAACAAATTAACAATGTTAATGTTATACTGCCCAAATGTGCACTTTAAACTGTCACAACCTTGATTAAAAGGAGATTACTGTGGAAGGGAAGGGAGGGGGTGATCAGTGCTAAGTATGATGTTTCTTGCCACTACAACATGCTAGCAAATAATCTTGGTAAGTTTACATGCTGGCTCCGTGAGATGACAAGTATACTCCTGTAATGTTAACTATCAATTGCTGTGTCCCACACAAAGCAATATTATAATATGTGGGTTTGTCTTAGCAGTGTCGACTTTGAGTCTTGCCTGCTGGTAGCTCAACCGGGATATAGAACACTCTGCCTAAACTGCAGCCTTCCTTAGATACTTACCCATTACACTCAACCACATCTTAACATTGTTGCTTTGCACTTTCATACCTAAAACACATACTACGCTCAAGGAGTTAAGCAGGTGATTGTGTAGTGCTACCCTCCATATACGACAACACCCAGCCAACATTTACTCTAATCCAAGCCCTGAATCCATGTCTAGAGAAAGCATAGCATGCCAACACTAATGCATTCACACACACACAGAAATGTGATCATGGACATACGTTACAGGTAAGCCATTAGTGCAGTGAGGATAAATTCGGTTAGGTATTAAGTCCCATCTCTGTGCCAAACACCTTGCACCAAGTTTTCTTCAAATGTGGACAAAATGATGAATGGGCAGTTTCGCATGCCAGTTAGCACAGCCTAGAAATCTTATCTGGTGGCTGGTTAGCTATACAAATTTCTAGGGCAGACAAAAATGCCAAATTGGTTTAGCACAACAAAAATAGACACATCTGCAGGTATATATATACCATCAATTGGATGGGCTACAGACCCGCTGTATATATCACCTAGGCTACCGAAAAATGGACGATGCAAGTCAACATCTTTCAGACAATGTATTATTACAACTCCACACGTGTCTACTTGTGCATTATATCTGGCTTTGAGAAAAATGGAAGATCGATTCTTACACAGCAACAGTGGTATTACAAGTACCAGCCATGTAGGCCAGACAGAACGAGAAATAAGATAAAGAGTTGGACAAGTCAACTACCAGAAATCAACGGCTTCTCTACCTGTCTACAGTAGTTAATTACGAGGCATCTCATCGAGCTGTTATATTATGGACGTGAAGCCAGCCGTGGAATAGACAAATCAACTTTCAGCAGTCAACTACTGTATCTTGCTACATATGGACAGACATGGGAACGGAACACACCAAGATTGATAATGTATGAACAGGAAACCTTTCTATACAAAAAGAAACAGATAATGCTAGCACATGGACAAGTCACTTTGCAATAGTCGGGACTAACCTCTATAATTGTGCTCTACACCTAGTACTGGAGAAATACTGTGAGTCAAACAGATTTTATTTATTGGTGAGCGAATAGGAGGGCCTAGTTGTCTGAATTGCACAGGATTTTACATTTACTTTTATCCGAAGGCGCAATTAGCACTTGAAAAATGTAAACATCACATTAATTCGTTCGCTCACTAACGATGTGCTGCATTCTCTCTAGTATTGACTAGTTAAAACTCCACTATGGTCACATTAATCATCACAGTCAAATAGACAATCATTCTCAACCCAATCAATGTGTCCCTTAGGGATACAATGATAATGAGCTGTGTTACTCAATCCACAGCTGTTCAACAGAGCATGGCTTGCATGTAATCCTAGGAGAGTGAGTGTGCAGCAAAATTTGGCCTTACAATGGTATCTATAATTCTCACCGCATTGCTTAGCACATAAACCAATTAACAATTCAATAAGGCAATTATGACACATACCTGGGATTCTTCGACGTCCTCTATTATTCGATTTCTGAGAGTCTTTCCGTGGAAATTGACGTCTTCAAGTGACTGGAGGACTCCGCCGATGAGGATGTTGTGTTTGGGGCCGCACTGGTGATAAATTCGAAACACGAGTGTCTGTTTCCGCGCCACGTCCGGTTTGAGTCGTAGAAACTGGAACATCTCGTCGAAATTCGGGTTTGGGGTGTTTTGAACGACACGGGATTCGTACGTTTCGCGGTCCGTCTCGCGATTCGGGAGGAGGTAGACGATCACGAAAGCGTTGCACGTGTCGGAGTCGATCTGTCGCGCCGGGAGATTGAATCCCTTCTGCAGGTGGACGATGAGCGTGCGCCGCTTGAAGTCGTAGTATATGGAGAACTGGAGAGTGGGGTTGGGGCCTATGTCGAACGGTTCGGTCACAACGATTTGGGGGATTGTGGACGAGCGTTTCGGAGGATCGGGTTTCTGCCGCTGGTCGGATTCGTGAAGCGAAAGAAGAGGCTGAGAAACGCCGTGGTCGTCTCCCCAGACGCTCCCTTCCCCGTCCTCGTCGCTGGTGATCGAAGTTTCGTAATCGGACGGCGTGTTATCGGGACGAGAACTAAAATACTCTTCATCTCTCTCTTCGATCTCGTCCAACGAGGAAGTCTCTTCTTCAGACTCGGAATAGAAATCCTGGTGGAGTGCCGCCATTTGGATGCTGCGACGTCTTCCACGCATCTCTGATGCGTGTTGCGGACTACCGTCACCGCTTAGACTGAGTTGACCGCTGTGCGACGGACTCACCAAACCCGTAACGAGCGGCGGGATGTTCCCCTGATGGAGCACAAGCGGTTGGCTCACTCTCCGCCCCATCACCGGGCTCGCAGAGTGTGATTTTATGAGACGAAACTCGGGTTGGCTTTGCCGTCTCCCGCCCGCTACGCCGAGCGCGAGTCGCTTCGGAGAGCGGTGGGTAGGGGATCCGTGCAGGCGCGGTTGTTGCGTTACGGGAGAAAGCTCGTCCATGCCGTACTGTGCGTACCTGGAGGTGTCCACAGGGTCGGCAAACACCTTACTGATAGGAACGCGTTGGTCTTTCGTCGGCCATTCCGAAGGCGAACTGTCCGGCTTCTGGCTCGATCGCCGACCGTACTCCACGTAGAGACTCGACCTCCGTCGCCTCGAGTCGTACAGCGTCTTCTCCGAGAAGCATCTCTCGGTGCACGAGCAGCACTGGAAACAACAGTAGCAGCAAGGCAGGCAGAACGTCGGGCAGCTCATGATGACGATGGCCAAATGTACCGTTCTTCACTCTAAAAGTCCAGCTAGTTGCAGTTCTTCCACACACTGGCTCACACACTGTAATATACAACGAGCCTGCGAAGCCCAAGTATTTGTGGCCTACTATTCTTTCTGTCCGCCTCTTCCGGATTTTATGGCCACGCAGCGTGGCGGTGGTGAAGCTAGCTGCGCTGAATTACAAAGTAAACCGGAAACGACTTATCGCTCGATAACCACAGACGCAAGTTTCCGCTGACAAGATTGGGGTTTTCAGGCTATATACTAGAGGCATTGGCTTTAGGTTGTCACTGACGATCAGCTGAAAAGGTATATAGACAAATAGTGCACTGATAGAAAACTGAAGGATAAACAAGTGCAAATTGATGGTATGAATAAGACGAAACATTAGAGTGACCTCTATAATTGCCGATATGCCACTCTTGAGTTACAATTCCAGCTAGAATGCAGTCCCTCGGCTTTTATTCGCAGCTTTCGCATTTTATCCTGAATCAAGTCCGTAATCTGTTTACGGCATACAACAGGGTTCGAAGATGATGTTTTTCCACCACTGACACAGTACTGCAACACGCAGGACAAGTCCAAAGGCTCTCCAACATACACTGTAAACTTCTGCAAAATAATAATAATAATAATAGCCAAACCGACACAACTGATTACAAACATTATTAGGAAATGAGTGTAAAGTTTTAACCTTGAACAGGTTTGGTCTGAGAGGCGGTTTGATTGGTAGAATGTCATCTAGCCCTGTGGATGACGCATAGCTTCAATAGCACAAAGAGTTATAATTATATAGCTGTATACAGTCCCATACACTGGGTTTGCATCTTATTTCTCACGTAAACATTGTCACGCACGAAAAAATAATGCAGTCTAGTTACTTAACAAGACTGTTCAACACTGGAAGAAGAGAGGGCGTGTGAAACCTATGTAAGGAAGTAAATAGAGGTGAACGCTGCATTCACTAGCTATATATGCGGATGCAGTGTGATACGTATAAGTAAGTGTGGAAGTGGTGAGTAGTAACAAAACAGAGCTCGTACCAACTAGCCACATTGGTAGCACGATGGGGAGTGTCTTGGTCTCTGCAATGACTCTGCCAACTCCTGCACTCAGTCGTAATTATGTTGAGAATCCAGACATTATCAATTTTTATTCCAGCTACGCATGCTTACCCCACTTTAATCTCATGTTTCTTCCAGAATTGTTCATCTTTCCTGAGGCGTTCCGAAACAAAGACAGTACAGACACTTTTGTTAGATTCTCATACTCTTTCATCTTACTTCGCCCCTCTTGCCTTCTCCCATCCCTCTCTCTCTCCATCGTGTCAATACACTTCCGATGCTCATACATGCACGTTCTGCAAGCTTGCTCTAAGCATCGATACTCTTATTGCTATACGAATGTACACTTTCTTACCGGTACGTTTGTGTACCTACTTTGCTTTCAGGCATTTGTAAATAAACAGAGATGAGCTTCCTTAAGTGCCTGGTTTATGCACAGAACGGAATACAAAACCCACTAAGATACCGTATACACCCTAAAAAAATGTTTGCAAATCGTGTAAGAGAAACATTTCTTGATTAAGGATTCCGTCGGCCGGCGTGTGTGGCATGCAACTTAATTGCAAAATACTATACGTTTGGTGATTTAAAATAGATCCATGAAATCCACCAGATTTGTCGTAATTAATTATACCTTCGGGATAAAAGTGAATCCAGTGCCCTTCGTTTAGTCTCCTTATTAGGAAGTCCACTCCCCTCTGATAAACACCTTGTCCTGATATGTAAAAGGTTTCGTAATGTTACATAATTATACAGCCAGGTATTTAAAAAGGACGTCACCGCCTAATAGGAACTACTTCAGACATTGCATCATGTAGCGATACACGGAAATTTTTTGGTGCTTTGCCCTCGAGTTCAAAGTAACGTAATTACACAACAAGTCACAAACTGTGGGTGTAACTTCCCTGTTAGAGTGAAATTCTCGTTAGTTGTGCAATAAAAAGGCACCCATTCTGAATTCCCAAACATAATTGTGGCGTTAATGAACAATTTTTCACAGTAATTAGTACATACAAAACACAAACTCATGCTAAAAATCATTTGGTGGTATCTTTTAACAAAGCTCCCCTCTTATAAACAACACATCACTAATACAACATGTATAATATGTGGAGTACAAACCTCTAATGACAGGTACAGCGTGACAACGAGAGAAGTAGGCAGACGATATTCTGTTGGTGAAACAAATCTCCTCCGCTGAAGGTGTCCTACAAATACATTCACAATTGAAAACTTAATTAGTGATCTACTTAATTAGTGATCTACTTAATCACCCCTATTTCACAGCATTAAGTATGCTATAAAAAGGTATGTTACCATTTGACTTTTCTCTCTGAAAATAAACTTCGTAGAGGAAGGAGATCTGAAATCACAGGAAAAAGATTTATCATTAATAATCCAACCATTGATAAAACATTTCCAAAACAGGGAAGAGCAAATGATGGGTATGCATAAAACTGCTGGCCTCAGTATAAATAGAACGTGAAATGTGTGTTGATATTCATAGCATGGAAAACCACAACCAAACAGGATGGTTCTTCCAACTGTATTAATACAGGGAGCTGGCATGTTGGCCTGGCCAGCTGGTGTGTCTTGTCACTTGAATTCTCAAACAAACAAACAAATCAACTTTGGCCAGGAGTGCTCTATGGAGAGTCACTCTGTTTTTGCAAAAAAGGTTTAGAATGCAGTTGGTGGGCACCTGTGGCGCTAAAAACTGAAATGCTTTCCAAATTATGTATTGAACACAAACCTGGCCAGGAGTGCTCTATGGAGAGTCACTCTGTTTTTTTTTTGGCAAAAAAAGGTTTGCGAATGGGGTTGGTGGGCACAACAGTCAAAAATATTACCCAATGCTATGCATACAGTTAGAAGTAAATTAATGTGGCTGGGCTCAGTAGAATGTACTTTGTGCAGAAAAATGTGTCTTGATATTCATAGCATGGAAAACCACAACCAAACAGGGCCAGTCTTCCAACTGTATTAATACAGGGAGCTGCCAAATACAGTTGGCATGGTGTGCTGGCCTGGCCAGCTGGTGTGTCATGCCACCTGAAACTCTCAGAACAAACTTAGAAAACCAAAATCCTATTTGGCCAGGAGTGCTCTATGGAGAGTCACTCTGTTTTTTTGCTAAAAAGGTTTAGTAACACACATCCTCCTACTGACAGCCCTACTCTCTGGGATGACAACTGCTGTCAGTTGCAGAAGGACAGCAACAGAATGCACCTGGTGTACGTAGTGGCGCTAAAAACTGAAATGCTCCCCAAATTATGTACTGAATGCCATCAAAGAATCCACTGTTGTACAGGTATGGCAGTGTGCACTCCCAGTGAGCTTTTTACGTATAATTAACCCTCGGCACGAATGCGCATCGAGGGTTACAGTACTTGGTCTGTCAGTCCGTCTGTCCACCACCGCAACAAACAGCCAACGGGTTCAGCGCTACACTGGCTTGATTTTAAAAATGTCGATTTTCGTAAAAGTGCCGCGTTCAGAAATTATGGCGTGAAAACCAAGTGAACGAGCCAATATGCAAATTAGCACAGGCTTACCTCGACCGCGTCCGTTCGCTCTGTGTACCTTGGAGGCACAAGAAGTCCCAACGAAGGGTATGTATCAACTCCAGCATGCTATCTACTACTGTAGCTACTTAGCGGGAGACCACGGGTAAATGCATACTAATAGCCCAGCCTATCAATTTACCACGCATGCGCAGATTGCCGTGGGTTTGTTTTCATTATACCAGCAATGAATTTCAGAAAGAGGTCATAAAACCACAATCCATGGGGCAAGTTGTATCAACTCAATAAATACATGGAGAATCCTTCCACAGTTGGGGGCTGGCCACTCCAGGGACCTGGAGTTGGGGGCTGGAGACTGAAAATGCTGCACACTACTTGTATGTAGCATAAGACCCCCCATCATAATTATGATAACAGTCCAAAAAAAATACACAAAAAAATACTTGGAGTGCTCTATGGAGAGTCACTCTGGTAAATTTTTTAGGAGATCTGAAATCAGAGGAAAAAATATTTGTCCATTAATAATCTAAACCGTTAAACCAATCATTGATAAAACATTTCCAAAACGTGGAAGAGCAAATGCTATGCATACAGTTAGAAGGCTGGGGCTCAGTAGAATGTATAATACATACTTGTGCTGGAAAATGTGTGTTGATATTCATAGCGCGGATAGAAACCACAACCATTCAGGGCGGTTTTTCCAACTGTATTAATAGAGGGAGCTGCCAAATACATGTGGCATGGCGTGCTGGCCTGGCCAACTGGTGCGTCATGCCACAATAATGTAAAAGAAAAGGAAAAGAAAAAGTCTGGCCAGGAGTGCTCTATGGAGAGTCATTCCGTTTTTTTGGCAAAAAAGGTTTGCGAATGGGGTGAATGGGGTTGGTGGGCACAACAGTCCAAAAATTACCAAAAAATACTTGGAGTGCTCTAAGCAGAGTAAATTTTTTTATCAGCAACACTACCAAAGTTAACCTGAAAGGCTTCCACTTCACACACTTTTGTAAAAGTCGCACTAGAGATTATAACCCATACACACTATTGGACAAAATTATCACATACAACCTAAAAATTATGCCGTGAAATAAAGAGCACTATTTCTCATACGGTAAAAGGACGGGTCGTCGATGTAGGATAGGTGATTGGCAACTGTTACTAGGGGCGTCCCCTTGGGTCTGTCCATTACTGCCTTCATTAGCCTCTGCCCGTTCTTCACCTGAACCTTCTGGGTCCATTCTGCAAGTAGTGAATCACGTAACTCCTTGGAAACAGTCACGTGAGTTCAAAGAGCTTCTGGCGTACTTACTGAGTAGTCTAGTGCCGAATAACACGGATGGAAGCCTCAGCAACACGGCCCCCGCCTTCCATGACAGTCTAAATCTCTCTGGAAACGGCCACGTACCGGTAGCAGACGACGACATAGCGGCGCAGTGTGTAGCCACGCCTTAAAACAGCAGCGCGGTGAGGACAAAGTTCACACATTAATGTGCGCATGCGCATAAAAATAATTCAGCACGCGCGACGCATATAGCGAGCGCTAGCTACCACACAAAAACTTTCTTGAGTTGTTTCTTGATGGTTTCCTGGAAGCTGGCCACCTCTTCCCTTGTCTCTGTGCACTCACTTCTCTGCCAGATGCCATAGGCTTCAGGCAGCAGTATCTGCAGGGTCTCTAGTCTAGGGAAGTAAGAATTTCGCTCATTCCCAACAGCATAATAACTTTTGTGAATTGGTACGCATTGGTAGGATGCAGTGGTAGGATACACTGCTTCGCATGAATAAATTTCACATTATATAGTATTCATTATAAAACCACAATCAGACTGGTGGATCTCCCTCAACTCAATAAAGAGCTGCCATCTGCAATTGTTCATTGACTGGGCTGGTCCATGTCCAGCCCAGTCACAAAACAGTCACAACTAACAGATAAGATCTATCCCAAAAGGGCCACATATCATTTATATTAGAGTGCCCTATGGAGGGTCACTCTTTTACTACCGCATCACATCAGTATCCTTTCTTTAGTGAGTGTCCCATCTCAGGGGCTAGATAGCATGCAAGAAGTGTTCTTGGAGAGACACCAAATACATCCTTATTAGAGAGGTGTCCTCGTTTCAGGGGTGTCCTTGTTAGAGAGGTGTCTTCATTTCAGGGGTGTCCTTGTTAGAGAGGTGTCTTCATCTCAGGGGTGTCCTTGTTAGAGAGGTGTCTTCATTTCAGGGGTGTCCTTGTTAGAGAGGTGTCTTCATTTCAGGGGTGTCCTTGTTAGAGAGGTGTCCTCATTTCAGTGGTGTCCTTATTAGAGAGGTGTCCTCATTTCAGTGGCTTCCTTAGAGAAGGGTTACCCTTATAAAAGAGAGAGCACACGTGGAAATGATGGGACAGTGTATAGGGAGACCTGGTTTCATTGGCGGGGTGAGTGGAGAGAAACTCCAGTTCCTTCCCAGAGTCGACGTTCTGGAGATGCTCCCACACACCCACTGCCTGAGTCGGGTCATAGCACGCCCTCGATGCTATCAGGAGTCCCACCTTGGGCCCAGAGAATGAAGAGAATAGTCATACACAACAGAATAGTTGCTAGAGTGGCAGATTGACAATAGGGCCTCAAAATAATGTTTGTGTGTTTTCTATCGCAGGTTTAATTGTTGGCACTGAAACTTACTTTATCCGCTTCAGTTTCGAGCTTCCTAGAGTGAGGGTATTCCAGGATCACCTGCACCGTGGATCTGGAGAAACTGTGCATGAAATACGATAACAAGTCGCTCGGAATGACGGCCCAGATTGCGGCAATCAGAAACAGCTGCAGAAAGTTGACGACTCCGTTTCTGGTTAGAGCTTCAACTGCCGTGACCGAGGACAGTGTGGGCAATCTCGTGACTGAGAATAAACGCCAATTCTTCATCGTTTCTGCACTGGTTTACGAGTCCAGTATAGACAAATATGTCGCCGGTAGGGAGACATAGAGCGTTCACGAAATCGGGTTTGTCTATTACGTACAGTCCCCAGTTGAACCCTTCAAACTCTGGCACGTTGTTGCCGCCAAGTATCTGTGATACGATTCGGTGGACGCGTTTGTAAACTGGGTGGTCGTGACTCAGCAGCATTTGCACATCGGCTTTACAAATTGCTTCCAAAATGTTGTTTCGCTCGCTCTCTATCATCTTCACGACCTCCTCTCTCGGGAACATTATGAAACGCCTTCTTCGTGTGATGGGAGTTTCTTCAAGGTGCGTCGCATAAAAGCCAAATCCGCAGAGGGATAAGAATCCGAAAACGGCGTAAAAGTATTTCGCGTTCTTGCGAATGGAGGATTTGATGGCGGCTCTTCTTTCAGGAGCGAGTCTGGTCCACCAGGAGCGAGTTAGGCGGCCGCCCACGGCCACCATGAACCGACTGAGCGGTCCGAAAAGTAGCAGAAGAAACTGAGGAGCCGGACGCCGTGGTGTGGTGTGGAAAGGAGATTTCAATAGGACTAGATGCGTGGAGACTCCGGGGATTGATTGCAGCGTCTCAGAACGAGCGGTTGAGAACGGTAAGCTGCGTGTCGCACGGTAGACGCGGGGAGAAGGGTTCGGCAGAGTGTAGAGACGAATGGTTCTTGCCCCGCGGAGTTGGCAACCGAGTCGTAATGCATCACCGCGTTTTCCAAAGGCAGAGAAGGTGAAGATAGCGGTTCGCAGTATCGGCATCGCTTCTACAAACGAGCATCTCATCTGCGAGCTAATGCTTCGCCGTCACTTTTGTTTTGGTGTTCTAATCAACGCGCATCATTGAGCCACGCCCCTTCCGTGGGTGTGGGGTGCTGCGCTTGCGCACAAAAACTGTCTTTCTAAGAGTCAGGAGGTGAATGAAAGTCGTCGTCGTATCGTGGTCCACGCGATTCTTCGTCTTGTCTTGGAGTAGACAGAATAATTAGCTCCTCTATAACAAAGCAAAAAGTAAAGATAAAAATTCACCTTGCCTTGCTATGTAAAACAAACTCACTTGCTTTTACGTTGGCTGAAACTCTCACAGAGCCATCTGGCAGAGTAGACTTGTGGTAGGCCAGAGATCCATCGATGATGACTCGAGATCCTCTCGTCACATAGTCCATTACGTACTTCCTGAACCACGGCTGTCCGATCGTGATGTTGTGCCACGAAGTGATGACCCTTTCGGAACCCTCTTCCTCCCCAACAGCTAAACAACACAGAAAAACAGAAAAATAGAACGGGCAACACTGCATTATACATGTGTATAATTATGCAGATTTATTTCATTGACTCCTTGCTCAAGGCTCGAATTCTTTACAGTGCAGAAATGATGAAAGCGCGCATGCCACGCTGCAAATCTTTTGGGGCTAAAAAGTCACTAAAATATTTTCCAGATGAAAACGCACGCTCATCCTGATTGCTGCTGCGGATTGTGTGGGCGGTGGCTAGTGGAAAAAACACGACGGGATAAGCGTCTCCGCGCTGTTCCGGATCCCGACCAACTCGCCCCAGCAACTGAACTCTATTGATATCTGCACATAGAGGGAAAACGTGGAGACGACATGCACAGTAGCTCGCCACAGTAGCTCACTTACACTTTTCCCGATGAAGCGGAGCTGTGGTAGACAAAAATCTAGTTGCCACCGCCTTCCGTAGCGAGTATAAAGGACGTATAAAATCTAACAACAACCTAGAAGCTCTAAAAAGAGAACTTACAGGCTGGATGAACTTGCGAAGCAGCATAATTATTATTGAGCTCTGAACTCACCACGTGGGTAGGAGGGGGTGGGGCTTATGTTCTAATTGAGCGAAACAAACTACGACGAAAATATTTCGCGGGAAATTGAAAAATGGGGGCCGAGCTCGTAAAGAAGACTTCGAGCTTTTCCTGAAGACGCACGTTCCAGACGCCTGTTTGGAGTAAGAAAACACCCCACATAACCCTGAAATACCGCTTGTACCCACTTGTTGTTCAATGCGTGTGTGTAAATCCGCTATGTACCTGCCTAACACAGCAATGTGGACGAGATAGTGCTCGACTACGTAGCCGAAGTACTGGGCGACTTGGGGAGAGAGCAGGGAGAGAGCAGTTTCGACGTGGACCAATT